AGGAGCAAACAGCTGAGACGTTATTGGAGGCCATCCCATTCCATCCATCTCTTTCTGCTGCCAGGATGGGCTCTGGTCAACCAAAGCCCAACAGCTGGGAGGCTGAGCCCTAGTCCCACTCAACCCCCACCAGCTGTTGACAAGTCTTTAATGTGTAGATAGAAGCAGCCTGAACTGAACACCTGCTTCCTGCCAGCACCCAGCCAGGCAATAGGAGGCAAAAAGCAGTAATGTAAGGCCCTGCCCTCTGTGAGCCTGCAGTCAGGTGGGGAAGACCTGGGTGTGAAAGAGCAAAAGATGCATTGTCAAGTGTGAAAGGCAGCATGCAGACAGCACGTGGAGAATGCCACCTCTGGTGTGTGCCTGCCTGTGTTGAGATTTTCTCTGGAAGAGTACACAGTGTCTGCCTGCTGGGAGGGGAACTAGGTGGCAACAGAAGCAAGGTAGGGAGGACTTCCTTTCACTGTATTCTCTTTATGGCTTCTGAATTCAAACAACTGCTTCAAACAAATCAAGACAATGAAATCACAATGAAAAGCAGCACCAGGTGATAAGCGCTAGAGTAAAATTGTAAACTACTTTGTGCTGGGAGCCCAGAGATGGGAGACGAGCAGCTCTGACACTGGGGGCGCCTCTTCTCTCCCCTCGGGAGCTCAGAGTCCTCATCTACAAGGGGTGAGTGTGTGCACGCCTGCCTGTCCGTCTGCCTCTGCATCTCTGAGCTGTGGGATGTGCAGATCTACTGGGTTGAATGGGGTCCCTCTAAATGCACGTCTACCTAGAGCCACAGAATATGACCTTGTTTGGAAATAGGGTCTTTGCAGATGTAATTAGTTAAAGTGAGGTCATATGAGATTAGAGTAGCCCCTAAATTTGAAGACTTTAGTATCCTTATAAAAATGGCAGGTGAGGAGAAAGAGATGAAGCTACAAGCCAAGGAATGCTGAGAATTGCCAGCAACTACCAGAAGCTGGTAAGAGGCAAGGAAGGATTCTTCCCTAGAGCCTTCAGAGGAAGCATGGCCCTGCCAACACCCTGATTTCTAACTTCTAGCCTCCATAAATGTAAGAGAATAATATATTTCTATTGTTTTAAGCCATGTAATTTGTGGTACTTTGTAATAGCTGGCGTAGGAAAGTAATATGGTGAGTCTATGCATTTATGTTTCTGTGTTTTGACATGAATGTCATTGTCTCTGTGTGTGTGTTTGGGGGAGTATTTTGGTGTCTTTGGAATGTGTTTATGACTATGATTTGGATTTTGAATGCTTGTGTGTGTTTAGGCCATATACACGTTGATGTGTTTTGTGTGTATGTTGAGTTGTGCCTGTCTATGGACCTGTGTGTCTCAGTGTGTGTGTGACCATGTGTGCATGTAGCCAATGATCTCCAGGGTCTACCTCAGCTTCATCATTCCAAAAGTCTGCCCCTGCTGCAGGAGGTGGCCCTGAGGAGATGCTGGCCCAAGGCATGGGGATGGAGTAGACTCAAAGCCAGATTGGAGTAGTGTCTTCTCGGGTATAGGCCATCTGAGAGTAGGAAGGGGAATCTTGTGTGTCTGCAGGGGGAGTGTCCCCATTATATCTTCCCTGTCAGCCAAATGGTCTCGAGCTCAGGAGTGTGAGTCTAGCACAAGC